CTTGTTAGCAGAAACGAAGTGTTATGCACAGGAAGTCAGGGACAGCATGTTGGGAAGAACAATAGTACATAAACTAGTAAACATAGAGCTGAAATACAAGGAGAAAGTGATGTTTGATACCACTGTTGAATAAAGATTCAATTCTTTTTATATTATTGTCTGTTCATTTGTATATCTGTTCACTCTTCTGTGTAAGTTAGCTAAAATTGACATTCTTATGTTTACATATGATGTCTACAGTGGCTCCAGAATCACCTTATATGGTAAAACTCCAGGCTGTGTGAGAAGGTCTAAAGCTGAATCTGGGCTTTGGGGAGACACCTCGTTGCACACTTATAGATAAAATTGGAAAGTGTGCAGAGGCTCTTGGCCATTTAGCTGGTTCTCCCAGCTGAGGGGTGAAGATGTAAAAAGGGCCTAATATAGAAGGTGAGATCTTCTTCTCTAATTTGTGCTTATATCAATGATTTGTTAACCATGACAGGAATACATTCTGTTAATGCTTAAACATGTTTTCTCCTTTACACTATCTGAGAAACATTACCTAATCTGATTGAACTGGAGTGATCAAAGGATGATCCAATACCACCAATTCCCTTTTACAATCAGATACTGTATAAAACACTTGGTATTGGTGGTACTAATCGGACACAGATAGTTTTTTGCAAATAAACCTTGGGTCTAATCTTCAGAAGGTTAGCTTGTCTTTAAACGGATGAAAAGGAATTTGCATTTGCAATTCCATACTTCAACGACCTGATTCAGGTGTGTGGAAGCAGACCCAGATCTTAAAGGTGTAAAGCTGTGGAAATCAAGGCCTAAGGTTGAAGACGCCTTATTTAGATTTTTCTTATTGCACGGTATTGGTGTCAAAATTAAGACTATTGCACACCCACCAGTGCATACTTCCTTGGCACAAGAGGCTATATCCATTCCCATGCCAGCTACTGATCTGATCAATTATAGGCTGGCAGCGGTAACTGAGCGGCAGGCACTAGCAAATGAGATGCACAAGCTAGTAACTTAGAGGAAGAGAACTCTTGCATTAGCTTTGGAGAGGCTGGGGTCTACCATGCCTATGCTGGTCACTCACTGGATTAGCAACTTCTTCTGCTGCCCATCAACACAGATCAGCTGGCATTAGCCTTTGATAGGCTCCCACAAGCATTGGATAAGCTGGCGTTAGAAATTGATTGGCTGGCATTAGCACTGGATGCAATTCA